TGGGGCCGGGTCCTGTGTGCGCCCCCGCCCCGCTGCCTTCCCGGCTGCCTCCCGCTTCAGTCCGGAGAGCGCTCACGTCCCCGCGTCAGGAGCCCGACCTCCCGGCGGGTGCTGCCCGGCCGCTGCCTCCTCTCCGCTCTGTTTTGTTTACTGTCTCACTTCGCTAAGTGCCTCCTAATTTTTTCCACAGAGAGCCGGTGCCTGCCAAGGGGCTCACGGGTCAGCACTCATTATGGCAGGAAACACGTCCAGCCGCCGGCTCTTACAAACAGCCCTACCACAAACAGAAAAGGTCACCCCAGCCAACACCAGCAACAGGTGGCAACCCTGCCCCCACCCGCTGAGAGCAGCCCGACCGTAAGGGACCGGGGGATGGAGGCCACCCTGCCTCCCACCCGCCGCAGCACAGCTCCAACCACCTCCCGCAGGAGCCTCCCCGTGCCCAGTCCAGTGGCTGCCCAGCCTGGGGGACAGGGAAAAGGAGGAGCGATGGGGGGCTCGCCCTAAGGACACCCGTTTTGTTCCCGGGCGTAGAGCAGTCTGTCTTGTCCCCTCAGAAGCGATGTGTAAGTGGAAGGAGCAAGATAACAAGGAGTGGGCTTAACAAACCACAGGCTAACGCCTCTGAGCAGGTACAAACAAGACACAATTTTAATTTTAATTGCCCATTCACACTGCATCAAGGCCTTGACAGATGCCAAGTGACACCTGCGGTATTGGGCCACATGCAGTCCCATTGCCAGCTAGGCCCTGGGAGCCCATGGCAGGGCCAGCCGCCACCAAAGCCACCTAACCTCCGCAGAGAAACTTGCACTGCAGGACAGCCATGCCTGAAGCTGCCCGTTTGTCACTGGGCTTCGGAGATTTCCCGACCTCTCCCTTCCCACGCATCGCCTTTTCTCCTGCTCTTGCTGCCTTCGCCGAAGGGGAGCACAGCGTGTGCTGAGCTTTCCACTCCAAAGCAATTTCACAGCGGCGGGTAGGCATGCTGTGGGTTTATACCCAGGAACACCAGCTCTTTAAAGAAAAGCCCTTTACGCCACACCAAGCACAGCACCGCCCTTGCGGTCCCTAGACGAGGGGCTGCCAGCAGCCCCAATGGCGAGCACCCCCGGCAGGAACGCTGACCCGGGGCCCGCCGAGGTTCACCTGTCGCCAGGGAACAAGCCCGGCACGGCACGGGCGTGCGAGTCCCATGCAGCGCTGATGGCCGTGACTCAGCTGGAGGATGGCAAACGCTCTGAGACCGCTCGTTTCATGAGATTTCATGTGCGTGCCTGACGCTGACCATGCAGGTCCTCCTACCTTGTGCCGGGGTCCGGGGAACCAGCCTCCTGGGCAGCGTCCTGCCCGCCTCCGCCTCCAGCCGCCAGCTGCGAGGACACGTGCTTGTATTTCACAAGATGTATGAGTGTGCGCGATTGTGCACCACCACCGCGCGGCTGGGAAAAACGCAAGCCCTCCCAAAATAAGGGCTGGGATCCCGGGGCAAATCAGAGGCCGGTCTGGCTCAAAAGCTTGTCTCCATGAGAGGGCAAAAGCAGACACCAAGAGAGGGTAAGGGTGGCACAGGCACAGCCTAACGGCCCGGCGGCTCCGCCAGTCCCCCAGCCGGAGGAACACGCTGTTCATGCGTTTCATCGCCTGCAGCAGGTTTCGCTTCTGCGAAATCCCTGCTTCCCCCTCTGACTCGGAGCCTGTCTCCCCACACGCAGGGCCTCGGCCGGGGAACACTCACCCTGGCCATCAAAGGGTAGATGAACATTGGAGTGGATTCTCCATGCCAGCCATGGCTTTGCAGGCCTGGATTGTATCCACCCTACAGCTCTCTCTCTGGAAACAGAGAAATTCTAGCTCACTTAGTCATCCAGGCACAGCTCCACGCCTTCGGTCCTCCTTGTGGCTTTCCTCCCAGCCTTCCCCGGCTCCCCTCAACCCTTCCAGAGACGCTGGGGCTGGGGGCCCGCATGGTCTGCAAGGGCGTGAGACGCCAATTTGAAGAGTGGCACAAGGCTTTCCTGCTTTATTTCTGCTTTGTCACTTGCAAAGATGATTCAATGTGTTTTTACGCACACCGAGCTATCTGAAATAGCCCCAGGCCTTGCTGCAAATGGCCAGCTCAGTGTCTAATCTTGTTTGCAGATCTGGGGCTTTGTCCCCCTGCCCCTCCTCTATCACTTGACTTTTATCTAAACTGAATTTCCTACCGCCCTACTGCCCAGTGTTGTAATGGTCTTCTGTACTCTTTCTAGCTGGCACTTGTCCCCGTGAACCTGAGTAATCCAGTCGCCTCGGCAAGCCCTGTCATCTCATTGCTCATTCCCTTTTCCAGGTCACTCACGAACACACCGAAAAAACATGGGACCCAACGCAGCGATCTTTTTCCACCGCAGAAACTGACCGCTGACTCCTACATCCTCCTTCCTGTTTTCGTACCAGTTACGGAGCCGTGTGAGGACCTTCCCTCTTGACCAGCCAGTTCCCTCAAAAACTGGGCTGAAAGCCCTGGCCCAATGTCTTCTGGGAAGCAGCGTGGGTGCCACAAGCCCAGAGTCTCTACCAAGCGCTGCCCCAGCTCCAGGGCCCCTCAGCAGGAGCCTCCCCAACCACTCACGGACGCTATCGCTGCGCAGACACCCGCGACACGCAGCAGATTCATCAGTCAGCTTTTCTCTGAAGTTCCCTCTAGCTCTTCTTAGAAATGAACGTCACGTCTTTCCCTCCCCTCCCAGTCCCTGGGGGCCGGGGCAGGAGTGAAGGACTACTGGCCACACGTGACAGCCAGCCAGTTTGCCCTCCCTTTCCTTCTGGTGAACATCGCCTTGCCCTAGCGACTTGTTGCTGTTTAGATTTGCTTTCTAACCTTTCCTCTGCAGATGCTCCAAGGAGCCCCCTGCAAGAAGGTGGAAGAAACTGCTTAGGCTCTTGTGGAGCAGACAGAGAAGCTCCTTCCTACTCCTGGTGTGCTTTGCGAGCAGTTTCCATCAGGGAGCTGCTAACACTTCCTATTATTCTCGTTCTTCTCCTTTCTGAGCCCTGCTTCTCTGCAAACAGGCTTGCTGCGCCATCCGCTCCTGCCAGCGCTGCTCACGCCTGCATCC